GCACTTATCCACATTAAATGTCAGTTGCCACAATTCTGACAATTTTTCTAGTTTACCTAAATCATTTGCCATTTGGCTTATCCCTCCTGGAACATCAACCCTGTTACATATCTTAGTATCATCAGCAAAAAGACATACCTTACCATCAAGACCTTCTGCAATATCACTAATAAAAATATTAAAGAGAATGGGTCCAAGTACAGATCCCTGAGGTACCCCACTGGTGACAAGTCCAAGCTTCGAATATATTCCATTAACTACAACCCTCTGTTGCCTGTCACTCAGCCACTGCCTTACCCATTCAACAATATTGGAATCCAAACTTAAAGATTGCAGTTTATTGATAAGCTTCTATGTGCAACAGTGTCAAAAGCCTTACTGAAATCTAGGTAAGCAATGTCTACTGCACCACCCTGATCTATAATTTTAGTTACCCAATCAAAAAAATCAATAAGATTAGTTTGGCATGATCTCCCTGAAGTAAACCCATACATAGTATCCAAGCCTGTCTCCACAACACCACTACCCTCAGTGCCTCTCTTCACAACACCACTACCCTCAGTGCCTCTCTCCACAACACCATTACACTCTGACAGTGCAGAAAATGAATTATATAGAGCAACAGACTGTGCAATATGCCTTTTATCCACAACTCTAAGTTTGTTTACCAGATAATTTACAAATCTCAGACTTCAAAAATACAATCTCCTGCCGCAATAGAGAACTGTCTACAGATTAGACAACAACCAAACCTCCAAAAAGTGGAACGTGAAACAAATGCATAGCAACTATTACACTGAACTAAGTCTGCCATTCCAATGAGGTGAATAATATTAATCAAACGAATCTTAACTTTTTATTTATCCTCCTGAATACCTCAGATTACCTCCAGTTTATCTCCAGAATATCTCCAACCACACACTTAGAAGCAACACTCTCCAGAATATCTCCAACCACACACTTAGAAGCAACACTCTCCAGAATATCTCCAACCACACACTTAGAAGCAACACTCTCCAGAATATCTCCAACCACACACTTAGAAGCAACACTCTCCAGAATATCTCCAACCACACACTTAGAAGCAACACTCTCCAGAATATATCCAACCACACACTTAGAAGCAACACTTAGATGAAGCAACAAGCTATATTAGCCAAGCTAACGACAACAACCCTTATATAACTCCTAAATCACCACCCACTAGGAATGTTTAACACCTGGGTAGGCCTCTGCTTATTTGCAAACAATAGCTAATTAAACAGCAATCAATAGCAAGTAGCTAACTAATCAAATCAAATGCCTTATAATTACCAACAGGAAATCAAACCTTGTGCAATCCGTAACCTTTTCCTACAGATGAATCTTACCTGTAACAGTAGAAAAGAAAACTGTGGGCACAGCTGCCCTCAACTATTTATTTTCTTTCCCCACTGGTCTGCCGGTGCAGCCAGGGGCCCACAAGCAAAGGAGGCTCACTGGGTGGCCCATGCACTATGCACCCAGTAGGCTTGTAACAGCAGGGGCTTGATCAGGCACTGTGGCCCTTTAACAGCACGACCAGGCCCCATGCTTTTTGTTAGCATGGGAGGAAGGGACAGCTGCGAGTCACCTCCTCCCACAGAGTCGAGCCGCGTGGGAGAGACCAAGGAGGTAGAGAGGAGGCAGTCCCTAACTCCCAACAGCCTCAGCCACCACTCTAGACACCAGGGAAGCCACCCTAAGGTAGGAAACGGTAGATGGGTTTAAAAGTATTAATTTTGCATGTGTGCTTATTTGTGTCATTATGTCTGTCAGTATAAGTGTCTGTGTGTGTCAGTATATCTGTCAGTGTGTGTGTCTGTGTGTGTGTCTGTATGTGTGTCAGTATATCTGTCAGTGTGTGTGTTAGAATGTCTGTCAGTGTATGTATCTGTGTGTGTCATTGTGTTTGTCACTTTATTCTTTTATGTATATATTGTCACTATATTGTACACTCTGTGATCTTGAAAAAGATCCGTAGCAGTCGAAACGTCGATTGCATTACAGATGTAACCAAAGTTTTTTGGTTCCATTAAACCACAATTTATTTTTCACAAAATATATATATACATTAACACATTAATATATATATATATATATCTATCCTGGCCTAATCTTTGCTTGAAAATGTGAGAATTATTATTATTATTATGATATTTATAGAGCGCCATCAAATTCTGCAGCGCTTTACAATCGGTGGACGAACAGACATGTATTTGTAACCAGACAAGTTGGATGCACAGGAACAGAGGGGTTGAGGGCCCTGCTCAATGAGCTTACATGCTAGAGGGCGTGGGGTAAAATGACACAAAAATGTAAGGATAGTATTAGACTAATGACAGTTGCAGAAGAGGAATCAGTCAGGAATATCTCAACATGTCCTTTGTGTCGATTGGATACATAGATATTGCTGGAGCCATTAAGGGGACCTTGGGGATTGAAACACTGGATGTGAGCTCTTTATTGGATCTCCACAGTGTGTGGGAAAGAGGACAAAATGAAAGCTGCAGTACAGTTTATATCTCCTGTATATCTATATCTCCTGTTCAGTATTGTGTAGAATTTGTTCCAAAGGAACATAGGGAAAGACTGAAACAATATTGGAACAAAAACAGAGAATATGAAAACTCTGAGAACAGGCAAACGCTTAGAGTAACCTCAGTAGCTTTCCATTCAGTTAGTCCCCATGCAGGTCTCAAAATATGTTTTTGCTCACTTGTGCCACTTCAGAGAGAATCTATACCATACTCAAACTAATCCCACACAATAAGGTAGTCCACAATCAAAATGCTGGCGAGTTCTCCCTGCTTAAGAGACACAGCAACCTTGGAAATCATTTCAGCCTTGTTTGGGTATTGCAAGCAAAGTGTAGCTGATACCCCTCTAGGCACGGTGAGCATGTGGTCCAAGTCTGGACTACCCTATTAACTAAAGGAGTGCCTACATAAATGCATTGCAACAAAAATAGAGACTATAAGAACTCTGAGAATGGGCAAATGCTTAGCTTGCTCTTCATTTAGACAACACTCTGATCTCAATACCATGTTACCGTATATACTCGAGTATAAGCCGAGGCCCCTAATTTTACCCTAAAAAACTGGGAAAACTTATTGACTCGAGTATAAGACTAGGGTGGGAAATGCAGCAGCTACTGGTAAATTTCTAAATAAAATTAGATCCTAAAAAAATTATATTAATTGAATATTTATTTACAGTGTGTGTATATGATGAATGCAGTGTGTGTGTATGAGTGCGCAGTGTGTGTATAAATGCAGTGTGTATATGAGTGCAGTGTGTGTGTATGAGTGCAGTGTGTGTGTATGAATGCAGTGTGTGTGTGTGTGATGCAGTGTGTGTTTGTGTTGCAGAGCCTTGGTGGGGGGTGGGCATTTTTATAAAAAAAAAAAAAATAATATTATTATTTATTATTTTCATTTTTTTGGTTATATTATTTTTTAATTATTTTTTTATTATTATTTATATATTATTAATTAATATTATTTTAATTTTTTTGTTATATTATTTTTTTTATTATTATTTTTATTTATATATTATTAATTTATTTATTTTTCGTCCCCCCTCCCTGCTTGATACATGGCAGGGAGGGGGGCTCTCCTTCCCTGGTGGTCCAGTGGCATTGGCAGTTCAGTGGGGGGAGGAGGTGGGCGGGCAGGAAGCACTTACCTCTCCTGCAGCTTCTGTCAGCTCTCTCCTCCTCCACGCCGGTCCGTGCAGCTCTTCTCTCAGCTCACACTGTAAGTCTCGCGAGAGCCGCACTATGACCCCGCGGCTCTCGCGAGACTTACACTGGGAGCTGACCGAGGTGCTGACCGGACCGGCGCGGAGGAGCAGGGAGCTGACAGGAGCTGCAGGAGTGGTAAGCGCTCACTGCCAGCCCCCAGTCTGTATTATGGCAATGTAAGTTGCCATAATACAGACACTGACTCGAGTATAAGCCGAGTTGGGGTTTTTCAGCACAAAAAATGTGCTGAAAAACTCGGCTTATACTCGAGTATATACGGTACTTACTTGTGCCATTACAGAGAGAACCTATACCATTTGCATGTTAGATTGATCCTGCCCATAAATGCAGTCCAGTTCTGAAATACTGGCAAGTTCCCACTGCACGAGTGAAACAGCAACCCTGGAAGATCAGAGGGAACTGAAAGAACAGTTTACAGTGTTTCCCATACCTGTGGTATCACCATCAATGCTATGTTCTGTTTTTCATTTTGTATTCTAGACTATCAGTAACATGTTGTCATCTGACTGGTCGCTAGAGACTTGCTGGATTTAATTTGATTTCAGTCAGGATAAGTGACCATTGGGATCCACCGGATAATCTCCATGGCATTCCATGTTGAAGCAAACCACTGTAGTATGTAGTGTTCCCCCTTCCCTTGGATTCTGGCAACAACACTAAAGAAAAAAACTCATCAGATATTGCCCTTGAATTATTAGTGTGCTTGGTCTCATATGCTGATATAGGCCTTCTGTAGTGTGATAACATTTATGTCTTTAAGGCATCCTATTATCCACGTTAAAGAAACTGTTATACTTTATTAAGACCAATGCTTTTTGCAAAGGCCATGTTGATAGGAGGTCGCTGTATGCATTCTGTTTCTTGCAACTACAACTACATACAAAATAACTCTAGAAGCCATGCTGCAACTTCAGATTACAATAATTGGGTTCGACTATAGTCTTGAGTGCACCTTTAAAGACTGTACCATTTCAGCTAATAAATTAGTGGAACTGTCAGTTGTTTTGCTTTCAAGTACTGTTTCTGTATTTGAGTTCATTATATCAAATACATTTAAGTGTGATAATATTTAGCTATAATAAGAAACATGTTCAAGCAGTGTGAACTTGCTTGTTATCGTCACCTGGCTCCTTTGATAATAACAAACAAGTGACAGATGGCGTTAGCTCTGGTATCACAAAATGTTACCTAACCTCCACTATTTAAGTGACAGAGAGACACAGATAAGACGGTCACATTAGTGGACAGGATGAAGCTCCTTCTCCTCTTCGTGTGTATTGGGCTTAGCTCGGCTCAGTTTAATCCCAACACAAGAGCTGGACGGACAACTATTGTTCACTTGTTTGAATGGAGGTGGGATGACATTGCTGCAGAGTGTGAACGATTCTTGGGGCCCAATGGATTTGGAGGAGTCCAGGTTAGTATATCATGTACCAGATTTAAGTAAGGGGCAATAAGATGTGCATCTGTTAGAAAACAATGTGCATATGCTCAATTCCATAAATGTTTACTGTAGATTTTTCACAAAGAACTCATAAAAATTACTTTCAGCCTGTTAGGACAGCAAGAAAGTGCACCACAGAAAAAAATATTACCAAACAAATCCCCATATTTATCTTTGTCATTTGTGTTTTGAGTCATTTGCAGTATGAATGCTACTAGCACCAGTGATACCAGTGGCGTACATACCAGGGTATGTACGCCCGGTATGTACGCCCAGGGCCAGCCTCTTCCCCCTGGGGGGCCCAGGAGCCGACCACCCCAGGGCCCCCCTGAGGCTGGCCCCGCTGACCCCGGATGGCAGGTGGCCGGTCGGGCAGGCAGGCGGGCGCGAGGGAGCACTCAGTGCTTCCTCTTCAGCTCCCTCGCGCACCGCACTGATGCCGGAGCCGGAAGATGACGTCATCTTCCGGCGCCGGCATCCCTACGCGGCGCGCGAGGGAGCTGAAGAGGAAGCACTGAGTGCTCCCTCGCGCCCGCCTGCCTGCCCGACCGGCCAGCCACCCGCCCAGGAGCCCAGCAGCACCACTGGACCCCAGGGAATCCCCCCAGCACTCCAAAAGGTAAGGAGGCTGGGGGGATTACATTTAAAAATTTTTTTTAAAAAATCATGTGTGTGTGTGAGTGTTAGTGTTAGTGTGTGTGAGTGTTAGTGTGTGTGAGTGTTAGTGTGTCTGCTAGTGAGTGTTAGTGTGTGTTAGTGTGTGTGTCTGCTAGTGAGTGTCAGTGAGTGTGTTACTTTGTGTGTCTTACTGAGTGTGTGTGTGTTAGTGAGTCTGTTTGATGTCTGTTAGTGAGTGTGTGTTTGTCAATGAGTGTATGTTTTGTAAGTGAGTGTGTATGTATGTCTGTCGCTGACTGTGTCTCTGTCAGTAAATGTGTGTGTCTGTTAGCTAGTGTGTATGCGTCTGTAAGTCTGTGTGTGTGTGTGTGTGTGTGTCTTCAGCACTTACCTTTCTCCCTTGGCGCTGAGGACCCCTCAGCCTCTCAGCTCCGAATGCGACCGCGCACGCATTCAAACCGCCCATAGGAAAACATTACTCAATGCTTTCCTATGGACGTTCAGTGTGCTCCTCTAGCGGCTGTCAGTGAGACAGCCACTAGAGGCTGGATTAACCCTCAGTGAAACATAGCAGTTTCTCTGAAACTGCTATGTTTTCAGCTGCAGGGTTAAAACTAGAGGGACCTGACACCCAGACAACTTCATTGAGCTGATGTGATCTGGGTGTCTGTAGTGGACCACTTTAAAGGACCACTATAGTGCCAGGAAAACATACTCGTTTTCCTGGCACTATAGTGCCCTGAGGGTGCCCCCACCCTCAGGGACCCCCACCCGCCCGGCTCTGGAAAGAGGTAAAACTTACCTTTTTCCACCGCTGGGCGGAGAGCTCTCCTCCTCCGATCCTCCTCTTCTCCTCCCCGTCGGCTGTATGCGCACGCGTGGCAAGAGCTGTGCGCGCATTCAGCCGGTCACATAGGAAAGCATTCATAATGCTTTCCTATGGACGCTTGCGTGCTCTCACTGAAAATCACAGTGAGAAGCACGCAAGCGCCTCTAGTGGCTGTCAATGAGACAGCCACTAGAGGCTTTAGGGGAAGGCTTAACCCATTCATAAACATAGCAGTTTCTCTGAAACTGCTATGTTTATGAAAAAATAGGTTAACCCTAGCTGGACCTGGCACCCAGACCACTTCATTAAGCTGAAGTGGTCTGGGTGCCTAGAGTGGTCCTTTAAGTGTGTGTGCATCTGCATGCACTGGCGTACATACCGCGGTCGCAGCCCTGTAACCCCTGCGACCAGGTGCCCACCGCCATGTGTTGCGGCCCGGCCCGCGTGCGGGGGGGGCCCACGGGTCATGTGTACGCCACTGAGTGATACCGTTAGGTGACCTAGGCAGCCACCTAGGGTGCACTAAACCATGGCAGAGCTATCTCTGGATGACCAGCAGGAGGGGAGTGCACAGCACTCCATCCTGAAAGTCACTTCATGTAGTGTGTTTGAGTGGACTGCATTAGACGTCTTCTGTATCTACCTGGTCTGACAGAAAGTGCTCACTAAGAGCAAAGAACAGCTTCCCGTTAGACTGAGTAGAGGAAAGAGAATATCCTCTACCACACACTGCTCGACTACGCTACATGTAAGTAAGCAAAGGGAAAAGAGACCACAAAAGGATGAGACAGACAGAGAAAGAGACACACAGAGGGCCTGCGGAAGTGACAAAAATGGGGCGGGAAGTGACAAAAAATGGGGCTGGGGGGACAATGAGCCACATAAAAGAGATGGGGGGACAAAGAGACAGATAGAGGGCTGGGGTGGACAATGAGGCACACAGAGGGGCTGGGGGATCAAAGACACACAAGGTGAATAGAAGGGCTGGGGGTTACAAAGAGACAGACAGAGGTACTGGGAAAAAAAAGAGAGACACAGCGAGGCTGAGGGGGAAAAATAAACCCAGAGAGTGATGGGGAGAACAAAGAGACACACGGAAGGGCTGGAGGGACAGAGAGACCCACGGGGCGGGAGGGGGGGGGGGAGGGAGGTTGTGGGGGACAAAGAGACCTACATAAGAGCTGGGGGGGAACAAAGTGACCCCCAAAGGCCTTAGGGGGGACAAAGACACACATGGGCTGTGGAAGGGGACAATAACACACACAGAGGGCTGGGGAAGTGGAAAAGACATGCAAATAAACTGGTGGAAGAGACATGTAAAGGGGCCTGGGGGGAGAAAGAAACCCAAAAAGGTGCTGGGGGGGAAGACATACAAAGAAACTGGGGGGAGAAAGAAACACACAAAGGGGCTGGGAGGAGAAAGTGACGTATAATGTTAACAATATTTGTACTTAGGGTGCAATATAGTCTAGCACAGGCCCTGAATGCTACCTATGCAATATATCATTGCTCTCTTTCTTGAGTGATGGTCTATGTGCAGGGTGTATTGCATGATAATATTATGATATTATATCAACATTTTTACCCCAAACAATCTCCTAAACTGGAACTAATGTAGAGGAGGCCCTAGTGCAAGAATATTTTTTGAGCCCCCCTCTATTGCATGGGTGGCTAAAAGGTAGATCTCCGTCTGTCATACAACTCCCACATCTACCATTTCTCATAATTGCCAGATTGTATTTAGCACTGAGCTGTGTTTGAATGTAAGCTTATTTTTGTATGACATATGTGTTTGTGAATGTAGGGGTGTAGTGTTGGCATCTCTATTCACATGCATACGCACACAAACTGCCACACACACACACATTGATACACATTCACACACTGACACGCATGCAGATATACAGACACACATATAAACACACAATGACACACATACAGATAGACAGACATACAGATAGACAGACATACAAATACACACAATGACAAACACATACAGATACAGATACAGAGACACACAGATGCCCATAGTGACACACATATCCTGCAGGGTTGCCATCATAACACTTATGGCCCCATACAAACACAGTCACTGAGTCCCACACCAACCAACACATACTTACACATATGCTTCCAGATATATAGATACACACTCACACACACAAACACTTACATCTAGACACACTCATGAGGATACACACACACTCAGATACAAATTGCCAGACAGACATATACTCACACAGTGATTCTCAATGTCAGGAGAGACCACTAATGGAAAGTCGGGGAGAAAAGGAGACCACTAAGGGAGGTGGAGGGGGAGAGGAGAGACCACTAAGGGGCAGGGGAGATCTCTAAGGAATGGAAGGGAGAGCTCTATAGGACAGGGGGACAGGGAGCTCTATCACACCACGCGCACACACACACACACAATGCATCTCTATACACACAGAAACACAACATGCTTCCCTTACACACAGAGAAACACACAATGCAAACCTTACACATAAAGACAATGCATCCTTTGCACATATACACAGAACACACACAATGCATCCCTTACACACACATGCAAACACACACTGTTTTTCTTACACACACACACAGAAACACAATGCATCTCTTACACACACTCAACACACCCCTTACAGACACACACACTGCATCCCTTACATACCCCTTTGCCTAGGGCGGCAAAAATCCTTGCACCGGCCCTGCTGGCAGGTACACGAACACTAACAGGCTCACACATACACACACTAACAGACACCCAAGCTGATAGCTACACATACATAAGAACTGACAGAGGCACACACAAACATTGACATTTAAGATGTTTATTTACCCTACTCTTTGCCTATCATTTGCCAAGAAGGTTGCTTCTCTGTGTTCAGTGGAGATTCAGCACTGAGTGTTGGCTGTACTCAGGGGGCTGTGATTGGCATTTTCTCTCTACACACATGGCCTCCTGTGAGCACTGGGCAGAATAGATCAGTTATTACACACTCCCAGTGCATAAATGCATGTGGAAAGGGTGTACTTTGTAAGGGGTCCGGGTTATCACCAAAGTATGCAATATGGTCTGGTGCCCAACCGGACCAAATAGCATCACAGTACCCTTGCAGACCTCAAAGCATGATGGTCCCCTTGAAAGATTATGAGCTGTACCCTCCTGATGGTGACCATGCTGCCCTGGAAACCTCTGTTTAAAGACAGCATCTATCTTTCTCCCCCCGCTCTCCCAAGCTCCTTCTCCTTGTCTTCCCAAAATGCCTTCTCCCTTTCTCTTACTCAGCATAATCTATTCCTGACTCTATCTCCCACTCCCCCCAAATCTTCATTTCCATCTCTTCTCCCATTCCCATTTGTCTCTTTCCTCCAGCACAGTAAGTTGTTATTGACTACTGGGGTTGCATCACCTTCTGCTTCCCTCCATAAAAGAGCAGCTCCCACATGGTGTGATTAGCCTTACTAAGTGAGGAGAGGGACTCAAATTTTATTTTCTGCTCCCTCCATCAGTAGCTTCATGATGTATTGCAGTGGGAAGGAGCAGACCAGCTCCTTTATAGATAAAACCTTCACCCAGACGTCCAACAATTAGTGCAGGCAATCCCTTAATCCTTGGGACTGCCTGCAATATAATCTGATGCTTGGCATCTATGCTGGTGAACACTTTCCCTTCCCCAAATCTGTGGTAATGCATGGAGTGGCTGGCTGCTGCTGCTCCTGCCACCTCCTAATCATGGGCAACCCTCTGGTTGTGGCCCTCTTTTGCCTGCCATGCTACAGGCCTGGTACACCAGGTAGGTGAGTTAGGTGACCACAAGGCTCCAGCCCACCAGATGGCCCTAAATGCATGAGCTCTCACATCTTCCAAGCACTGGCTGCTGATATGAGAGGGGACAGTTTGCCCTGTTAAGGCACCTGCCCACTAGATGGCTCTAAGTGTACCCCCCTCCCACTGACACATACAAACACTCTGAAACACAGAAACACGTCGTGGCACACAGGTACACACCCTGACACACAGATGCACACACTGACACGTACAAACACCCTAACACACAGATACACACACTGGCACACATTGACACACAGATCCACACACTGACACATATAAACACCCTGACACACAGATACACACAGTGACACATACAAACACACAGACACATACAAACACTGACACATGCACAAACTGACACATACATACACACAATGGCATACACATACACTCACTGACACAAATATATGCACACATATATGTCAGAATGTTTAGGTTTACCTGGAGTCCTGCTGCTTGCTCAGTCCGATTGGAGTGTGGTTCTGGAGCTGGGCTTCTCCCCCTCCTCTTGTGCTGCCTCCTCCCACTCCTGCTGTGGCTGCTCTCCCTCACATGTGGCTCTTCCTGACGACTCGCTGATGTGAAAGGGGCCTGGTCAGGCTCTTAACGGTCTGCAGCGCCTGACTGGGGCCCTTTTCAGAAATACCCATCGGCTGACCCTAACTGCATGATCCACCCGATGGGCCCCCTCAGTGTGTGTTCCTGGTGCAGCTGCCCTGTCTGCACCAGTGGTAGTTCCACCACTAAAGAGGGACATAATGATAAGAAAAAGCAATTCAAACGTAACATGCATATATTAGCACTGCTCTCTATGCACTGCACCTATTCATCTTTTCCTGAAAAGTAAGATAAATATATGCCATTCCTGTGTTTTTCAGGTTTCTCCAGTAAATGATCACATCGTTCTCAATGATCCTTGGAGACCATGGTGGCAAAGATACCAGCCAATCAGCTACAAACTCTGCAGTCGCTCTGGTAATGAACAGCAGTTCAGAGACATGGTGACACGTTGCAACAATGTTGGGGTATGTGACATTTCAAATAATCCATAAATGAGGATAATTATTATTATTATTTTAATACTCTTGTTTATCTATGATCTATTTGTAGAACTAATGTCTGTCTTTTGGGCAAATGAGGTTGCGGAAAAACTATATAGCTCTAAATCAAGCTATAGAAATATTATTATTTGATTTCTTATACAGTGCCAACATATTCTGCAGCACTATATAATAGAGACAATGCAGAAAACAATTAAAAGATAGTGATACAAAAGGAAATATAAAGTTGAATTTATACTGAGAAAATAAGTCTTTATAAAAATCTTTACAACAATATTTCTAAAAGTAGTGTTTGTCTATTTTGTAAAAATTGCAGTCAGCTAGAACTGGGTACTGTAGGGGTACTAGAGTAACAGAGCAGAAGCTGCTACAGAATGTGTCCCTTCTTATCTTCAAGACCTCGGGATCTCTTCTAGGTCCTTCCCCACAACCCTCAGCCAGCCACTTGAGAGAGTGTTGAATAGCTCTTTTGAAACTCTCCCCATACACCAAACAAGACTTAGTGAAGGGAAGAGCAACGCGTGTTTTTTGAAGTGGACATCAGTTTATATAGAAACACACAAGGGGAGGACAAAACATAACAACCAATATCAGTAACATGACTTAGCATAGCAGCCGTTAACAATAACATGTTTAATTAAATTACACCCATCCCTGGTGACGGTGTGTCCGGGCAGCGTTAACTCATTCAAAGTGTCAGACTTTACTTATAATACATAAAAAGCGACTGCGCAACCAACACCAACAGATTTTAGAGCAGAATATTTTCTAGGTATTAACCCATTATATGCCAGCTTGATTTGTTAAAGTCACAAGATATAATTTCCATTAAAAAAAAATAAAATGCCAATCTGTGGAACCTCATGTAAACTACAATGGAGGATAAAACAAATTGTGAAATGCTGCCAGAGCTCAGGTTGTAGCTTCAGGTTGGTTTGGTTGATATTTTGCATGGATTTGTCCGATAACATGTTCTGTTTATCCACTTTTCGTAGGTTTATATTTACGTGGATGCTATCATTAACCACATGTGTGGCCAAGGTGGAGGCACAGGTACTCATTCTTCCTGTGGAAGCTATTTTAACGCAGGTGCAAGAGATTTCCCATCCGTCCCATATTCCAACTGGGATTTCAATGATGGAAAATGCCGAACTGGTAGTGGGGAGATTGAAAACTACAATGATGCTTACCAGGTGAGCACTATCATATGGTAATGGTCAGCCCTAAGAGAATACTTAGTTATCTACTCCATCCACTACACCATGTAGCTCTAACAGGTGCCTTCACTAAAGTGAGAATTTTTGGGAATACAAAGGGAATCTGAAACTGAAGGCCAAAATAGCTGATTTGAAAGCATACTCAACTGGGAAAATGTTTCTGGTTGATCTATTTTGGCCTTATAACTAAAATACACTCTGAGTTTCCTGCAATACTCACTGTAACAGAGAACAGGCAAAAATCTCCAGGCGCTCACAGTGTTCAAGCCGCAGGCAGGTTTTTTGATTCAAAACGTCAAAGCAACATTTCAACCTGCTAAGAGGTCTTTGTCAAGTTTGTCATCAATGAATCAGAACAAAAAGAAATGTAACTTATAGGACAGTTTAAATAAGCTTTGAACATCATGACTCTATATGGGTATCAAAATAGGGGATTAGTTTTTCATGCAAATCTTTATTATTAGAGCCTGTTTTTCTGGGATCAACACTGTAAAAGGCTAACAATCTAATTAAATAAACATCACTTACTAAGATATGTAACAGGGTTGATGTTCCAGGATTTGCCAAATGGCAAATCATTTAGGTAAACTAGAAAAATGGTCAGAGCTGTGGCAGCTGACATTTAATGTGGATAAGTGCAAGATAATGCATATTGGATGTAAAAACCCAAGGGCAGAGTACGGAATATTTGATAGAGTCCTAACCTCAACATCTGAGGAAAGGGATTTAGGGGTGATTATTTCTGATGACTTAAAGGTAGGCAGACAATGTAATAGAGAAGCAGGAAATGCTAGCAGAATGCTTGGTTGTATAGGGAGAGGTATTAGCAGTAGAAAGAGGGAAGTGCTCATGCCATTGTACAGAACACTGGTGAGACCTCACTTGGAGTATTGTACACAGTACTGGAGACGTATCTTCAGAAGGATATTGATACCTTAGAGAGAGTTCAGAGAAGGGCTACTAAACTGGTTCATGGATTGCGGGATAAAACTTACCAGGAAAGGTTAAAGGATCTTAACATGTATAGCTTGGAGGAAAGACGAGACAGGGGGGATAGAAACATTTAAATACATAAAGGGAATCAACACAGTAAAGGAGGAGACTATATTTTAAAGAAGAAAAACTACCACAACAATAGTACATAGTCTTAAATTAGAGGTGTAAACATAATATCAGGAAGTATTACTTTACTGAGAGGGTAGTGGATGCATGGACTAGCCTTCCAGCTGAAGTGGTAGACGTTAACACGTGAAGGAGTTTAAGCATGCATGGGAGAGACATAAGGGTATCATAGCTATAAGTTAAGGCCAGGAACTAATGAAAAATTTAGAAAATTGGGCAGACTAGATGGGCCGAATGGTTCTTATTTGCTGTCACATTCCATGTTTCTATGTTTCTTACTTCAATACGTTTTTATAGGTTGATATAACTGAAGCACTAATGTAATAAATAAATACATATATCCAAGTGTTTCTTATTCATAGGTCAGAGACTGCCGCCTTGTTGGTCTTTTGGATCTGGCTCTGGAAAAGGATTACGTGCGTGGAAAGATTGCGGATTTCCTGAACAATCTCATCAATATTGGTGTGGCTGGATTCAGACTTGATGCTGCCAAGCACATGTGGCCCGGTGACATCAAAGCTATCACTGACAGACTTAACAATTTGAATACAAGATGGTTCCCTGGGGGAACCCGACCTTTTATTTTTCAGGAGGTAATACTCTGATACATCTATAGAAAAAAAATAATATCTGAACCACTCAACAGTATATTTTATATTGTATATATGTTCCCAAAGTAGCTACTTAGGAGTTTCAGAAGTAACAGAAAGTACAGAACTTATCAGACTCAAAGCACTTCCTTAAAATTATATCAAAACATTTACATCCAGAAAGCAAGAAATCATTGTCTAAGCGGTGCCATATAATTATACAGAATATTATGGGGAAAAAATAGTAATTTATAAATAACAGAATATAATAATAGGAATTTTAAGCTTCAAAAAATAGTAACTGTGTGGAAATGTCATTATGTCTATTGGGATTTCTTCTCATTACTTCCAATATGTAAAGCTGATGTGTAAATGCAAACTTTAGATAAACACAATCAAATTTCCATTATTAATAAATAAATTTAATTAATTAATTAATTGTGATTATTTACTTTAGTGGACAATGTGAAGATTTGGCTAAGGAAGTGCACGTTTAGGCCAAACTCATCAATATCCAAACATAGCTAGATTCATTTTTCCAGCATAGTTATTTTATCCGAGAAATAGCCAAATTGAGCCACGTTCCTTTTTCGTACCCCACAAATAACAGAACACATGTTTTCTTGTTCCTCTATTAGTTAATTTGAAAGTATTTGGAAAATAAAATTGAATATATCTTGACAAATGTAATGCAATCATATTTTTAAAGGTGATTGATCTTGGAGGTGAAGGTATTTCATTCAATGAGTATACCGGAATTGGTAGAGTGACTGAATTTAAATATGGTGCTAGACTCGGAAATATCATTCGCAAGTGGAATGGAGAAAAGTTGTCTTACGTAAGGTAAGTCATGACAGCGGGATCGAAATCTTAAGCTCCCAGGACAGTTGAATTCTTTTTTTTTTTTTTAAATTATAAGCAGCGATTTATTTAAAAAATCAATTAGGCATACTAAATTCAATGATAAAAAAAATATCAGAATGTCAACAAAAATTTTACAGGAGATACTTAATGCTAATAATAGTAAATACATACAGGCAATTGTTAGATATTCAATGTGGTGTTTTCATTGGTCATTGCTACGTAAGCCACAGTTCTGTGGAATAAAATGTGGTTACACCAATGCATCTTCCACATAAGTCATATAATGATTCTCTTGAAGTGGACCTCCAATTTGACCTTTACAACAATTAAGACAAATTTTAATACTTGCAAAAAACAGAGTATGAGAACTCTGAGAATGGGCAAAATCTTAGAGAAACTTAGTAGCCTGCCCTTTGATTAGTCCACACTCCAGTCTCGCAAATGTTTTTAATACTTCCATAGACTATGCTTTTGTTCTTAAAGCATTTGCTAACAAATAATTTTAAAATATAGTAAAAAATACCATATCTATTTAAAAATAATGAGTGCATATTGGAATAATGCCCCATATAGTACACATGGCCATCCCAATTGTTTATACAAAACAGGGCATTTCATTATGAAAAGAATCCATGCCAGCCATGTATTCAATTACTTAGATCCCTCCAAAACCTTTTCGCCCCAGTGACCTTCAATTATGAAATTTAACTCCTTCCTCCCACTTTCTATTCCAATGGTGCTGTAATAATGTAGGGTTGGAGAAACCTATAAATAAGGGAATTACATTTTCAGTAATGAATACATTTATAAACGTAAAGTCCTTAATAATCTTAATAATCAACTAACAAAAAATATTTTTTACCACCAAACAGGAAGATTGTATATCGATGTACTTAATTCAGTATTATTAACAATATCCTCTTTTTATAGGAACTGGGGAGAAGGCTGGGGATTCATGTCTAGTAACAGAGCACTGGTTTTTGTAGACAATCACGATAACCAGAGAGGCCATGGTGCTGGTGGAGCCTCCATTCTTACTTTCTGGGATGCCCGGTAATAAAAAATGTTAAAGTCATTGATAAGAACAAAGCAATATCTACTGTTTACTTTGCACTACTACTCTTGATTATAGGGACCTTTCTGTCACAATATGTGTACTCTACCAATGAAACATGAAAAAATTCCAATAAAAATATATTTATAAAAAAAAAAAAGAACAAAGCAATATCAACATGTATGGATTAAACAATCTTAGAGCATTTTACATATGTCTGTAGGAAGATAAAATGCACATCCAAATTATATTAATTAAGAGTAACCCATGATATGGTAAAGATATTATTGGACCAATGTGAAGTTCATAATTTGTAATGTGCTTCTATGTGTTTTCCTGTTTATTGTTTGTACATAGTGCCTTCTTAATAGTGACAAAATAAACACAATATTTCCACAGCAGTTTAGCATATGTCAATCAACCATTATAGAAAGATGACACATTCACCTAGCAACCAATCGTAGCCAATTGTGTGTCATTTCAAAAAACTATATTGTAACATATTGCACTTCACTGATAGAATTGCATCTAATACTAACTTGTGATTTGTTTGTTGTACAGTCTTTACAAAATGGGAGTTGGCTTCATGCTTGCCCATCCTTATGGGTTTGCACGTATCATGTCCAGTTTCAGATGGAACAGGAATTTCGTTAATGGAAAGGTAAGATTGTCTTTTTGTTTAAAATTGATTACACAACTCCTTCCACCATAGGCTTTAATTATCTAACTTTGTCTAAAAATATTATAGTAAAATTAAAATCAATATTTTCTTTAGGATGTCAATGACTGGATTGGACCTCCATCTAATGGTGATGGATCTACAAAGTCAGTCCCTATTAATGCTGATTCAACCTGTGGCGACAATTGGGTCTGTGAGCACAGATGGCGCCAGATTAAGTGAGTAATTTACACTATGGTAATCTAATACGAGATACAATAAAGCTTACTAATGCATTGTATTCATCCATAACACATATTCAGTTTTCTATAAAAGTTATATAGAACAAAGGCTTTTAACCTGAAACATGTCAAGGAGATGCAGTAACTGAAGCAGTATCCTAGTGTAAATTAACATCAAGCTGACTATCTACAGTTGCAAGAAAAAGTATGTGAACCCTTTGGAATGATATGGATTTCTGCACAAATTGGTCATAAAATGTGATCAGATCATCATCTAAGTCACAACAATAGACATTCACAGTCTGCTTAAACTAATAACACACAAAGAATGAAATGAAATTAAATCCAAGGGTTCACATACTTTTTCCACCTGCACTGTGAATGTTTACATGGTGTGTTCAATAAAAACATGGCCACATTTCATTCTTTGTGTGTTATTAGTTTAAGCAGACTGTGGTTGTCTATTGTGACTTGATGATGATCAGATCAAATTTTATGACCAATTTGTGCAGAAATCCATATCATACCAAAGGGTCCACATACTTTTTCTTGCAATTGTATTTACTAGTCAGTATTGTATGTATTTACTTATTTAATATTTACTAGTTTCGCTTTAAGAGCATTCATAATGGGGATTTTTGCATATTTTCTGGATGAACACATTACTAAAAGAAATACTCTAAGCACCAATTTAACTTAGCTTATAGGAACACAGTGGTGTCAGGAATACATGTATTCTGATATACTCAATATACTATGTATAGATCATGCCCGTGAAATCTCTCTCAATTCTCTCCCATTTAAAGTTGCCACTTTTGTTTCTGTTCATGCAGCCCTAGCCACACCTCCCCTGTCTGTGACTCACACACAGCCTGCATGAAAAATTATTTCATTTTTAATCAGATCTGACAGTACAGCATATATCTTTAGACTTTCTTTTTATCTCCTGCTCAGTTCAACCATAATTTCACACAGGAGGCTCCTGCAGACTCTAGTTGGCTATTAATAGAGCAGGAGCGAGAAGTTCGAAAATTAAACATGATGTGCAATAAAGGAAGTTTAAACATTAGATCTATCTTTACGGGAAATGTGTAGGAAGCCTGTGTAGGTCACATGCAGGGGAGGTGTGGCAAGGGCTACATAAACAAAGTGCTTTCATTGCTAAATGGCTGAGAATTGAGCAGAGAGATTGCAGAGACATAATCTATATACTTTATTAAGCAAAAGTAATGTCCATTTAATGCTGTAAGGATTCAATTCTCATTACTGCTAGATGCAACAATGATCTGAATATACAAGAATAAAAATAAATTCAAATTATTCTTTAGTTATCTGTTGAGGGGAGTTTTACATGGGGTTTCATGCCTTTTATCATAAAGGTATGAATAATTAAATCAATTATATTTTGTCATAAATAAAAATGTAACTTGGTTTAATCAAGATGATCTTACATGCCAGTAACCACTCATCATTGTGTTTTTCTCTTTTAAGGAACATGGCTATTTTCCGTAACGTAGTAGATGGTCAAGCCTTTACCAACTGGTGGGACAATGGAAGCAACCAGATTGCATTTGGCCGTGGAAACAGAGGGTTCATAGTTTTTAACAACGATGACTGGTCAGTATATCAGTCTAAACTTCCAATATAAAATGTAGGAAATAATATTTTACTAAAGGCCTAACACAAAATATTTAATATCTTTTAACATTTGCAACGGCTAAAGAGGGGCATGTTTATAAAATATAGGTGACTATATGAAGAGGCTATAACTTGCTGATAGTGATTTACATAACCAATTAAATAACTTACATCAAATTCAAAGTATTTTACATTCACCCCTAAACTCATAATCTTTTATAAAGATCCATTGCAGTTAGTACATAAACTAGTACAAAGATGGCACACACATCCACGACCATGGGAGGACTTGTATGAAAGCATTTGCAGTCTGGATCACAGAGCCAGAAAAATGGGGATATGTGTGGTAGCCTTTTATCATTTTTCTGCTGATCAAGGCCTCAATTTAATATTTTTGGATATTCTTTTCCAATGATTTATTATTTTTGTACAAACTTTTAGAATGATGTATTTAAAATATTAAAATATTTCATATATAATAAAATCAATATATAAAATATTTTCATAATATTAAATCATTTTAAGCATATATACATATAATTAGAGGCTTAAAATATCAGTGTGTGCATTTTTATGTCTGTTGGCACAGAAATTTGTAAATGATGCACCAGATAAAAATTGTGTAAGCCATTTGGAAGCCCAGCACCACCAAAGAGCTGCTCAGTTTGTGCATGAGCTGATGGCCAGCAATCATAATGTTCTCCTTGTTTGTATTGGTCACTGGTTGACCAGGCTACCATACCTCAAGCTTTTTACAAATAGTTGTAGTCTGAAATAAGACAGTGCTTTTGACATTTTGTTAAACACTCTGGCTAATATCGGTGACAATGGAGTCCGGGAACACTGAGTCCATATCTTAGGCATGCACACTCATGCTGCATTTATCATATTAGCGTAAGATAAATGGATATATGATGTCACACTACTCATCTCCAAAAACCAAATTCATCAAATATGATATAATAGATAATCCATATTAATAGGACCATCAACAATGAGATGTTGAACACTGAGAGCCTCCCACCTGACCAAAGGTTGCCAGCCTTCACTATTCATAACAAACAATCAACATTCTAAGCAACCAAAAAAAATAATAATGCTGATCTAGAAAACAAACACAATTAAAGAGATTGACTATATATTTTTTTGCATAAAATGTATTTACAAAAAAAAAACAACAAAACAAAACGCAATTCTTGAAATGCTTTAATATCAGAGCAGTTTGAAACAATGCATAAGGGATGCATTTTTGACAGCTCTATTGTACTTATATTGTGCACATCACAGATAAGATAAGTCTTGATTTGATATTTGTTCTACAGTTTAAGGTAGTTATAGCACAATAAATCTGCAGTTTCACTTCATAATACCTGAGATGAAGCTAAGTTATTTGATTACTGTCGATAAACCTTTAACATGTTGCAAACTGTCACCTCTCAATAAAAAAATGAAAGATTTGGCTCTCAAGGAAGAGTTTACCTTTTTCCAATCATGCATTTTTATTTACCAAAAAACACTTATTTAAGATGCGCAAATATATTACTAGGAAATAGCTGAAAGCTGAAATATTTTATTACACTCACACAATTTGTATATAAACTAAATGGGTTATCATTTTGGCATTCTCATTAGAGAACAATTCAAAAATCAACATTTTAAAACTTTCATATATATTTTTCAATACTTTATCAAGATGCATAACATGTTATTTTTTAATATGTTTATCAATAAATTGGACATTACTGATGTCTGCTAAAAAATCTGTTAAGGACTCACCAATATGTAAAATCATCCTAACAACAAGTGTGGGGGAGCGGGGGGCTAGATCAACATAGTCTCAAGATATGGACTTTGCACCCAAAATAACAAACTAGCAGTGTAACCGGTAATCATACTCAAGAATAATCATCCTGCCAGCTCTGACTACTTCTTGTTTTGGCAAGCCACACAGAAAACTATAAATGAACAATTTGTCTTTTTTGCCCAAATATTAATCTTTTAAAGTTTTAATTCACCTGAGGTCTCTTTAGAACATTTAGCAAGAGCATATCAGAAAACTATGTTTTTCAGTCAGTACAAAATATTCATACTTTGAAAATTCAATTATTTTCTACAGGTACATGGATGTCACCCTGAACACTGGTCTTCCAGCTGGTACCTACTGTGATGTAATTTCTGGCCAGAAGGAAGGATCCAGGTGCACCGGTAGACAAATAACTGTGGCCAGCAATGGTAACGCTCGCTTCCAAATCAGCAACCAAGACGAAGATTCATTTGCAGCTATTCATGTTGATGCCAGATTATAAGACCTAAATAAATAACCTAAATAGAAGCTTCTACTTGGAATGCAGATATAGAACTTCCGCGATCTGGAAAAGGAAATATTGATGTATTAATTCATATGCTGGATATCTTGTCTAGTCCTAAGTTGTACATTAACTGCATTTTAAGCAGGACATTCTATCTTTTGCAGTTATCCTGTTCATACTGAATAAAATCAAATGCTCAATAAACTGCTTATTGAAAGTTTGCCATCTACATCTCATTTGTAAAATTTGATCTAAACACAAATATATATTCAAGAGAATTGCATCCAAGTGCATGTGTAATCTTATAGTGAACTATTCACCTCTACACATCTGATATTTCGAAAGGTTTTTGGTAATGATTTAGTTTTTTATTTATTCAGTTATCTATCAATATATAACTTTATATATTTATCCCTCAAATAACACTAGCAATCCACGAAGTATACCAAATATCTAGTTATCATTCAACAAGCACTCCTAAGATTATTGTTGCAAATCTTTTTTTTTAAAGGAAATAGACACACAGATGTTTAACCCCTTAAGGACCAAACTTCTGGAATAAAAGGGAATGATGACATGTCACACATGTCATGTGTCCTTAAGGGGTTAAAGTGATAAAGAGGACTTGGTTTATTTTTATAGATAATAATGTGCTATCTATATCTTGCACTAATCCAATCGCTAACAGATGAAATATGATTTTATGATCTTTGACCTTGGCCTTCATTTCTGTACTATTATGTGTGAAACGGAAGTATTGTGAATATATGTATGGGATGCATGTGTGCATGATAAAGGTTGTTTATGTATAAAACTATATTCATATACTATAGAGTTTGTGCATATGTGTGGCGTGTTGGTGACTGCTCAAGTACGTGTGTGTCTATGTGAGAAGATGACTCTAGGAGTATATATTTTAATCTATATATTGGATAAATGCAACCTATATGTTACTAATGTGAATGTGCTACTTGTATGACTTGTAAAGACACGAATGAAACAATCATGCAAGCTAATAAAAGCTATAAGCCTTTCTTTCTTTTTCTTTCTTTCTCTCTTTCTCTCTTTCTCTCTCTTTCTCTCTCTTTCTCTCTCTCTTTCTCTCTCTCTTTCTCTCTCTTTCTCTCTCTTTCTCTCTCTCTTTCTCTCTTTCTCTTCTCTCTCTCTCTCTCTCTCTCTCTCTCTCTCTCTCTCTCTCTCTCTCTCTCTCTCTCTCTCTTTCTCTCTCTCTCTCTCTCTCTCTCTCTCTCTCTCTCTCTCTCTCTCTCTCTCTCTCTCTCTCTCTCTCTCTCTTCTCTCTCTCTCTCTCTCTTTTCTCTCTCTCTCTCTCTCTCTCTCTCTCTCTCTCTCTCTCTCTTTCTCTCTCTCTCTCTCTCTCTCTCTTTCTCTCTCTCTTCTCTCTCTCTCTCTCTCTCTCTCTCTCTCTCTCTCTCTCTCTCTCTCTCTCTCTCTCTCTCTCTCTCTCTCTCTCTCTCTCTCTTTCTTTCCTTTTTCCATAGATCATACATTCATTTGACAAGGTGTCCATGTACATAGTAGCGTTTAGGTTAGCTCAGAAATGCTTGTATTTTAAGCCTATGAATTGAAATAGATTGCCAAGCTCCTGAGACTCCATTTGTATGTTTTGCTGCCTTGTCAGCAGTGAAGCACGTTTGCTTGGTTTCTAACAACTTCAAGAGATTTGCAGTTCTGCCAAGAATACATTCAATTATACTAAATATAACCTTTTAAATTACCTTTTGGCAGAGGAGAGACTGGCTTGTTCAGATACTGTAAGCTAATATTATATATTTGAACATTCATAAATCATGATACTGCAAGCAATACATAGTAAGCGAAGTCTCAACAAGTTATGAGATATTGGAATAGTTTAACCACCATCTACAAAAACCTACTTTTTATTTTTCCGCGAGAATTTAAACTGAAACTCTGATCCCTTTATGGGAATAGAACAAATAAATAGGTAATGCTTATTCAACTCTCTCTCTTAATTGTTAATACTGTCTTACATTCTTTGTACACATGCGACCTGAGAAAGCACCGGAATAATTAAGCTAGAGAGTTTGTTTAATAATGTCTTCAAAATTACAAGATGACAAGTTCCACCATCATGTATCATTCATAATACTATATGTTATACTGGAAAACTTGACACCTTGCTGGCATATTCTATTATATATAAGCTGCAGTATAATTTTGGATGAACGCCAGAAAACAAGCAGCATATTCCTTAAGAGCCCAGAAGGAAATCTGCCTGATGATCCAGCAGAGGACACTGGCCAAAATGAAAGGTGTCAGAATAAAAACTAGAGTTCAAAGTGACTATAGATGTGATACTAATTAAATAACAGAACCCTCTGAGAAAGTCTATAGAGGAACTTGGTCAGTGACGTGAAAACCATTGGGCATTGTTAAACGTTTCTCAACCATTTGATATTGTTTTACATTTCTCAACCATTGGACTTTGTTTTACATTTCTCAAACATGTGGAATGCATGAAATGTCAGCCTGAGAAAATATGGAAAGTTATGTTAATGCAACATCTGTTTTTACCTGGGTTTAGTTCACCGCTCCTTTATTTTATAATTTTACACCTCAATTGCTGTTCATATTACTCTTTTCATCAAATGTAAATTGCTCCTTAGCTGCTAGTCAGTCATCGCAACCATTTTTTCTGTGCTGTCCAAGTCAATGCAGTATACCAATGACATAATTGTCACCATTTTCTGAGTGTCGATTGTTGATTGAATCTCCAATGCTCTTCTGCAAATGCCTCAACCTCCTTAGCCAGATCATCAAGAAGAGTGGATATGGATACAGGTTCAAGAGTGGAGCTACCATCAGCCACCTTTTCTACTTGGACGACATCAAGCTTTATGCCAAGAATGAATATGACATTGACTCACTGATCCACCTAACTAGGATATACAGCAAGAAGTTCGGAATGTCATTTAGACTAGAGAAGTGCGGGCAGATAATAGCATAAAGAGAGAAGATGATCAGGACAGAAGACGTTCAAGTTCCAGAAAACCAAAAAGAAGATGTAGAGAACAGCTGCAAGTATCAGGGGGTACAACAAACACATGGCAACCATGGTGAAAAGGGAAAGAGGATAGCAACATCCAAGTACCTTCAAAGAGTCAGACAGGTCCTGAAGTCCCAGCTCAATGGCAAGAACAAGATCCAAGCAAACAACACATATGCCCCACCAGTCATCAGGTACCAAGTTGAAATAATAACCTGGCTAAGAGAAGAACTGGTCACCCTGGATGTTAAGACCCAGCAACTACTCACAATGAATAGAGGATTTCACCCGGAATCCCGCACCCAGAGACATAGAAACATAGAATGTGACGGCAGATAAGAACCATTCGGCCCATCTAGTCTGCCCAATTTTCTAAATACTTTCATTACTCCCTAGTCTTATCTTAGAGTTAGGATAGCCTTATGCCTATCCCACGCATGCTTAAACTCCTTTACTGTGTTAACCTCTACCACTTCAGCTGGAAGGCTATTCCATGCATCCACTACCCTCTCAGAAAAGTAATACTTCCTGATATTATTTTTAAACCTTTGTCCCTCTAATTTAAGACTATGTCCTCTTGTTGTGGTAGTTTTTCTTCTTTTAAATATAGTCTCCTCCTTTACTGTGTTGATTCCCTTTATATATTTAAATATTTCTATCATATCCCCCCTGTCTCGTCTTTCCTCCAAGCTATACATGTTAAGATCCTTTAACCTTTCCTGGTAAGTTTTATCCCGCAATCCATGAACCAGTTTAGTAGCCCTTCTCTGAACCCTCTCTAAGGTATCAATATCCTTCTGAAGATACGGTCTCCAGTACTGTGTACAATACTCCAAGTGAGGTCTCACCAGTGTTCTGTACAATGGCATGAGCACTTCCCTCTTTCTACTGCTAATACCTCTCCCTATGCAACCAAGCATTCTGCTAGCATTTCCTGCTTCTCTATTACATTGTCTGCCTACCTTTAAGTACACCAGTCGGAAAGAAGGACGTGGGGGACTGATGAGTGTCAAGTGTCCTGGATGAAACACAGAGCATCCACAAGTACATCAAGAAGATGACTCCCAAAGAAGAACTGCTAAGGGAATGTCTGAGACAACAACAGATTAAAGATGCAGGAAAAGAGGAGGTTCCATGTCAAGACAAACCTCTCCACGGAGTGTACCACCGGCAGGTAGTGGATGTGGCTCAGATGAAAAAATCCTACCAGTGGTTGGAAAAGGCAGAGCTGAAAGACAGCACTGAGGCACTAATCCTAGCAGCACAGGAACAGGCACTCAGCACCAGATCAATAGAAGGTGGAGTCTACCACACCATGCAAGACCCAAGGTGCAGACTTTTCAAAGAGGCCTCTGAGACAGTCCAGCACCTAGTAGCCAGATGTAAGATGTTAGGAGGAACAGCATACACCGAGAGACACAATCAAGTTGCTGGGATTGTGTATCAAAACATCTGCACAGAATATAGATTGTACCTGCCTAAGACCAGATTGAAAATACCACAAATGGTAGTTGAGAATCGTGGTGGTAGACAAGGAATGCAAGACTCCAGTCGCGGTGGTTATGGCAATGCCCAGTGACCAGTACATTAGGAAGAAGGAAAAAATCTAGGTAACACGTTAATTATTGGAGATTTTAATTACCCGGACATAAATTGGGACAGAGGGACTTATAGTTCAGCAAAGGGAATTTGGTTTTTGAACTTGTTAAATGATACCTTCATGTCACAACTTGTACAAGCACCAACTAGAAAGGACGCTTGTCTGGACTTGGTTCTAACAAACAACATTGATCTTTTGACCAACATTCAAGTAGGTCTTTTGAAATAATCTCAAAAAAACAAAAGCATATGGGGTATACTAAAATATATAATTATATATAAGAGCAGCATTACAATATAACTGGCATAAACTCTTTAGTGAAAAGAACACTGAGGATAAATTGAACATCTTCCAACAAATATTAGAAAGGTAAATTGTGTAATAAATATAAAATAAACAAATTGAAACAAATGTGGCTTAGTAGACAAGTAAAACAAGAGATTAAAAAATAAGGAAAGGGCATTTAAAGCATTTAAATCTGACAAATCAGACGCATCCTATAAAAGATATAAGGAAGCCAATAATGCGTGCAAAAAGGCGATTAGATTCGCTAAACTTCAAAATAAAAAAATGATAGCCAAAGAGAGCAAAACCAACCACAAAGCATTATTTAAGTACATACATTCTAAAAAAAAAACAAAAAAATGAAAGTTTAGGTACACTAAAAACTG